AATGTAACATAATAAAGTAATTGCAGTCGCATTGCATGAAATGCTTATTTTTCTCATATGTGGGCCTCCAACTGTTTCTTTAAAACGCCTCTGAATTGCAAAGGCCGCCTCTGAACCCAACCAGAGTTTAACTGGGTTAGGTGTTTTTCCAAATCTCTAACCCTAAGTATAAGTTTCTAAATACGGATATCTCAAAATGCGCATCAGTGTGTAACTCTGTTAGGAAATGTATGTTGTCTATTCAGAGAGTCAAGGGCCAGCTCGCTGTGGCAGTTATCAGAGCGATTGTCCTCCTGTCCAAGTCTCCAGCAGCGCCTTCAGGCATCTGGCCGTGTCGTCCCCGTGTCCTCACAAATACCCTTCTGCAACACCAGATGTTTCTACACACAGAGCCGTCCAATCAGAACGCCAGGTTTTCCCTCCCGAGTCGAGTCCACCAGGTGGCATTGGCAGATATTTGAGCGCGCTCGCCACGTTACGTAAGTCCCCTCGTTTTCACAAACAGGTTCTAAAAAAGTGATTTCCATGTCAATAGAGAGTAATTACTACTGATGCTTAAAATAACACAACTTATTTATTGATATGCTCATGCATTTACGAGTGTTTTAGGGGGAAATAAGGAGATTCATCACAGGTCTCTTTCTCTCATGCATAGCAAGTACAGTGCGGTAGGCAGAAACAGAGAGAGACAGATATATACCACCACCCACACATGCATGTATGACCCTGTACATCTCACAGTAGCGAGTCGGCCCCCACATCCGCGCACACACCAATGATTCGAACATTCGAGAGGTCAAAGTCGCTCCCAGAAACACATGCATGGGCTGGCGAAGGGAGTCACGCCGATGTGCATCACATGGATGGAGGGCCGGTCTACAATCACAGAGATCAAAGTGGGAAAAAAAGGGTCTATATAGAAAAATAGGATAAAAATATAGAGAGAGAAAAACGGCTTTATGTAGGTTGGGAGAGAGAAAAAAAATCTCGTGTGCTGTATTTAGCACACTGCCTGTTGATGAGGTCTTTAAAGAGTCTTGTACAGTGCGCTGTCAGTTGTGTTTAGAGAGCGCTGCTGCGTAGTTCTGCCTGGGATTATAACAAATCTGTCATGAATTTTAGATGCTACTAAACGCAGGGATTCAGCAGCCCAGGAGACGGCAGTTGGCTGTGAATTGTCATTAGCGGCTCCCTCCGAGGCTGCGAGTGGTGAAGCCGTACTGGCATTGAACGTTCTCTGGTGAGAATACACACTTCCCCCCGCTGATTTGGGTCCATATGGATATCTAGAGTCTCGGATGTCTGTTTCAGGATCAGTTTTGTTTTGTCGGAGCATCCTGGATAAGGCAAAACGGCCCTCTCGGTGATTGAGAGATCTGATGCTTTTGACCTAAGGAAAAAAAAAAACACAAATTAGAAATCACTAAGTAGTAATCACTAAGTAGATTTTAATATTTTTGTAAAGGAAAAGTAAATCCAGCTTACCTGTGCATAACTCACCAACATGATTATAGGGTTGTTGATCTGTGGTTTAAAGGTGTTCTAAGTGGTTTTCAGCATGTTGCTATGGTGGTTGCTAAGATGATGTAAAGCACTGAGATGCAACTTTTAAAGGCACTAAATAACTGCTTTTCTCATAGAGTGCGTCTCTATTGCAGACAGTGTATTTATCGTGCAATTTATACACGAAAATTAGTTTTTACTTGCATACGATATAGGGCCTATAGTTTTCGCATGCATGTGATTTCACACTTTATGGCGTGCAATACACAAGCACAAATCAAATGCACGTAAAAACTAATTTTCACGTATAAATTGTGCAATAAATACAATGGGTTGAAAATGAGGTTGGCATCAGGGTTGTTTTTGTCAACTAAAACTATTAAAAAGACTGAGCTATGAAGCTGAAATAAAATAAAATAAAATATGAAATGTTGATTTTGCAAATAACTGAAATAAGGTTACGTTGGACCTTTGAAATTACTAATTAGAAATCAATACAAACTAAAACTGGATTGAAACTTTAATGAAAATAAATTAAACAAATATTCATTTTTAAAACTAAACTAATAAAAATGGCCAAATAAAAAAAAGAATAAAAAAATAACTAAAGATTGAGCCAAAAAATGTAAATATTACATTTAATATAATATAATAAATATAATATTACGAGAATATTAAATCTGGTGTAATTGTATACTGCCATGTAAATAGTCATAAGATTCCCTTTCAATGTTTCCCATTCAAAATTCCATTTTATTGTCAACAAGCCACATTATTTGAGGTATAATTTATGTCTGTAGCACAAATATAGTAGTATGAGTTATCCAAAAAAAAAAGACCTTATAGAACTTACAATATAAATGTACAATATGTAAGAATTTTATATCAAAATATCCAAAAACAGTGTTAAATATTTCTTTCAATTGTGTATTTACATTATCCTAAATGTTGCAAGAATTAGTAAATTCAGAGAAATTCACAAGTTTAAATAGTTACCTGTCAATGACGCAATATCCGTGTTATCCCTGGTTTCCGCTTGTAACCATGGCGACAGATGTGGCCAACTGCGTAATGTTTATCGGCAAGCTGTTGTTGTTTCGTTTAAACATTATGGACCATAGCAAGTAGACTTTGTTACGAATTCATACCAATTGGCCACCTTGTAAAATTCATACGAATTGCCGTGAGATCGGTTTGGATAGTGTGTAGACTAAATGAAACATCACTGCGTTACCTCACAAGTTTCCGTCGTCTAATAAACTGACCTGTGTGAGTAATTCAGCACTGGCGGGTAATTCGATAGAGTGAAATGTCCCCATTCCTTTATATCTGTGGGACTCGCGTGTGGCGCTGATAGTCTCATGAGCAATCATGCCCTGCTTCACACCACAGTCATGTTAAAAACATCAATGTTTTCACCCATAAAGATTATTAGATCCATCAGCATGACATCAAGTTCCATGACTCCGCTTATTCACTGCATCATCAATCTACACCTTTGTTATTGTAAGAGGTTAGCGACCCCTATTATAGTGGCGAAAATAATACATATATCCATAATGATAAAGAAAATATAGAATTATTCTAAATATTAGAGCCAGACCGATATATCGGCAGGCCGATATTAGGCATTTTCCAAACTATCGGTATCGGCAGTTATAATGGCCGATAAATGAATATTTAAAAAATAAAATAAAAAAACGGAGGAAACACGCATGAACCATTCATGATTGTTGGAGTTGTATAGTTTTTCCACCAGAGGGCACTCTACACCGTCCCTGTTGGTAACACTCAGTGAGCTGGTCACGAGACATACATTGCTTGAAAGAACATCCACATCAGTTCTCCTAAATCAAATAAGCATGACAAAATTTGTGACTATCATGTCCAGTTTTGCTGCTGTTAAATAAGCCGAGAGTGAAGCGGAATTAGCTAGTAATAGTTACGTTATGTTGTTACAGTGTAGTCCTTTTAACTTTTGACAATGTGACTGAAGTATTTCTTTAATAGCGCGTGACACTTATAGCAATGAGACGTATCATTCTCCTTGGCCTGTTATATTGAAAATGTATGTTTTACAATTTGTTGCACGTTTCTGAAACAATAATAAAAAATAAAAAAAATATCGGCCGATATATCGGAATATCGGATTTTAAAACCAATAAATATGTGTATCGGTATCAGACTTCAAAATCCTTTATCGGTCGGGCTCTACTAAATATAAAAGAATAGCACCACAACTATAACGATAATGATAACTTTCAGAACAGCTGATGAACAATAAAAACATTGACAGACAATCAGAATCCATCCTGCTTTATAGAGCTCGAGCTTTTAAAGTGGCAGAGGACAAAACTGCAGAATTAACAGAACGATACCGTCCACTGGTGTGAATGCTAATATAGTTGCCGTTCTTGGTGTGAACAGGCCTTATTACTGATTCTTGCCTCAGCAGCACCAGTTAAATCTTTCAGTGAGCAGATGCTCTAATGGGCCCATTAGCATTCCTGGAGTTTCTTCTCAATAACTTTAATTCGTTTTTTACTTCCTCTTGTTGTTGTTGTTTTTTCCTCTGTGCAGAGGGTCAAGGAAAAGCTTTAAGAAAATCTTTGTGCGGGTTTCTTCATTTATAGATAGAACGCACAGATATATTTATTGATCTCCCAGGAGAAACATGGTAATTATTGGCGGATTAACTGAGAGTCTGGAGATTTTTACTCTTCAGGAATTTGAAGTCTGTTCTCTTAGAAACGCCATGGTCATTCCAGTTATCCCTTTTACCACATCAAGAGACAAAGCAAGTTTAAAGTGCATTTTTTTAAACAAATATTTGATCAATAGCTTGTTAACTAGGGTCAGATACAATTGCTATAGTTCAGAACTACTAGATAAAGACCGTCAGTATTGATAAAAGAATCAGTACATCACGTGGTCAACGTGTAAATGAACGCTGTGTGTGTTCACATTGATTCTGCTGCCTGTCATTATCCATCTCATTGACTGTGTCCCATTGATATAGCGCTCAAAATTATTACAATTACACTGTAATCATGTCCTCTCACAAAGCTTCTTATAAGCATCTCAAGTTTGAAAATCACAACGTAATGTGTGTCATTGTCCAAGCTTGACTTACTCTCCAAAGCCCTTTAGCAGACAGTCTGAGCATTTGTACCTTCTCATATACTCATCATCTCGTCTTGGCTCTCTGATTGTCCTTCTGCCTTACTCTCTAGAGACTCGGAAGATTAATAATAATAGTTCAGATACAGGATATCCACAATCTGGTCTCTAAAACAGTTATCCTGCAGCAGTTCCCTTTTCTTTCCAGTATAAAACACTAATTTTACCTCCATAATACGACATTTTCAGATCTTGATTTTATCCATTTGAAATTCATTATCATAATATCCTCATTACCTGAATGTGAGTTTGCGCTGATTAATATGAACCAATTTTAATTAAGCCAAGATACTGAAGACAAATATTGTGCTCTAGGAATGGTTAATATTGAACTTTAATTTGGATCATGGTGCACTAATCCAAACAAATCTTGCAAAAGAGAGACTCCACCTCACTGTGTCTTTGGTCTCCAACCTTCACATTTATTTGGAGTGCCAGTCCAACCCCACAGTGTCCTATACCTGACTGACCACTCTTCCAGCCAGTGCCAGATCCTGGTCATGCAACCTGTCTCTCCAGCTGAAATCCTGATCTCTCCAACTTTTCGCGGAGTAGCCCGCCAGATGCCCCGCGACGCCATGACTGCCACCCCCACTGTACCTGCAAACACAAATGCACCACATATCTGGATAAACACGCATTCAATTTGTGCAATAAAATATCAGTCATTTGGCACATATGATTTTCTTTTCAGGTACCCAAAACAACATGATGTCCAAAAGACGTCTTTTCAAGGTCTTTGTCACAAAATTCGGACGTTGAAAAGACGTCCACTGAGGAGTTTTTATGACGTCTTTTTAGACGTTCATCGAACCTTCATACAAGGTTAAAAACTAGTTCAAATGTGGCCATCGTGGACATATTTTCAACATCATTTATGGTCTCATTTAGACAATTTATACTGTTTCTGATCCACCTTCAAAAGTGATCATTTTAATGGTACTGGTCCAAATAACACAATTCCACAAGATTGGTGGCTATAAATGGCAGATATACAGTAAAGACAAAAGTCTAAACACAACATTAAATGCTCACTTTGTGATTTTGTCATCATCAACAAGGAGCTGATGACTAGGGTTGGGTATCGTTTGAATTTGAACGATTCCGATTCCTTGTTTTGATTCCGGTTCCTAAAGATTCTTGATTCCGATTCTTTTAAGAGGCAGGGTCAAAAAAGTTTAGCTAACCTTGCTAACCCACAGTCTTTCTGAAGGAAATACTCCTTCTGTCACAAATTTTGCATTTTGCCGAGATTTCGCTATTTTATTTAGACCGCCGACGTAAGCTATTCATGTTCGACTCGCGCAGTTAGACGCTTCTTCTTTGGAGTTTTTCAGCGGTTTCCTCTTCCGGTCGGCGGACTGTGAATATCGAAACTAGGAATCGAAATTTGAACTTTTGAACGATTCCGGGAAAAATGAAAAGTTAGTCCCAGTTCCAATCGATACTCGATTCTCGATACCCAGCCCTACTGATGACAACCGCTTTACTTTTTCTTGGCTTTCTCTGCCACAACAATGGTGTTACAATCAGTTACAACAGCCAAAGAAAAGTTAAAGTGAGACGAATTGGGCCCAACTAAAGCAAACACTGGTCACCACAATGGTTACTTAAAATGAAACATATCAACATCTAAACCTCATCTAAACACTGTAAGGAAATTTGATATAAACATTTTTAATTTAATCCATCCTGACTGAGTGTGTTTATTTGGTCCAGAAACAGTATAAATTGTCTAAATGAGACCATAAATGATGTTGAAAATATGTCCACGATGGCCACATTTGAACTAGTTTTTAAACTTGTACGAAGGTTCGATGAACGTCTATATCAGAACATGTCAAAAAAACAACAACTTTTAATTCTGGCTCCTCTGTGGACGTCTTTTCAACATCCAACTTTTGTGACAAAAACGTTGAAAAGACATCTTTTGGACATCCTACGCTATCTCACGACCAATTCGTACGAATTCGTACGAGTGATTCAAGTCAAAGTGGCTAATTCGTACTAATTCATACGACCTCACTCTTACGAATTCGTACGATTTGTCTAAACCCACGTGACGGTTAGGTTTAGGGGCGGGGTCAGAGGTAGGTCATTCGTACGAATTCATACGAATTGGCTAATTCGTAAAATATGTACGATTTAGCAAAAGTGAGGTCGTACGAATTAGCCACCTCGTAAAATTCGTACGAGGTGGCTACCCTGATGACTAGGGTTGGGTATCGTTTTAATTTGAACGATTCCGATTCCTTGTTTTGATTCCGGTTCCTAAAGATTCTTGATTCCGATTCTTTTAAGAGGCAGGGTCAAAAAAGTTTAGCTAACCTTGCTAACCCACGGTCTTTCTGAAGGAAATACTCCTTCTGTCACAAATTTTGCATTTTGCCGAGATTTCGCTATTTTTAGAAAAGTGAAGCCACACTTTGGACCGCCGACGTAAGCTATTCATGTTCGACTCGCGCAGTTAGACGCTTCTTCTTTGGAGTTTTTCAGCGGTTTCTTCTTCCGTTCGGTGGACTGTGAATATCGAAACTAGGAATCGAAATTTGAACTTTTGAACGATTCCGGGAAAAACGAAAAGTTAGTCCTGGTTCCAATCGATACTCGATTCTCGATACCCAGCCCTACTGATGACAACCGATTTTACTTTTTCTTGGCTTTCTCTGCCACAACAATGGTGTTACAATCAGTTACAACAGCCAAAGAAAAGTTAAAGTGAGACGAATTGGGCCCAACTAAAGCAAACACTGGTCACCACAATGGTTACTTAAAATGAAACATATCAACATCTAAACCTCATCTAAACACTGTAAGGAAATTTGATATAAACATGAGTTTTAATTTAATCCATACTGACTGAGAGTGTTTATTTGGTCCAGAAACAGTATAAATTGTCTAAATGAGACCATAAATGATGTTGAAAATATGTCCACGATGGCCACATTTGAACTAGTTTTTAAACTTGTACGAAGTATCGATGAACGTCTATATCAGACGTCCAGAACACGTAAAAAAAAAAAAAAACTTTTAATTCTGGCTCCTTAGTGCACGTCTTTTCAACATCCGACTTTTGTGACAAAGACGTTGAGAAGACGTCTTTTGGACATCCTACGCTATCTAACGACCAATTCGTACGAATTCATACGAGTGATTCAAGTCAAAGTGGCTAATTCGTACTAATTCATCCGACCTCACTCTTACGAATTCGTACGATTTGTCTAAACCCACGTCACGGTTATGTTTAGGGGCGGGGTCAGAGGTAGGTCATTCGTACGAATTCATACGAATTGGCTAATTCGTAAAATATGTACGATTTAGCAAAATCGTACTAATTCATACGACCTCACCTCGTAAAATTCGTACGAATTCCTGTGAGATCGGGTTGGGACATCATGTTGTTTAGTGGGTGGTCTCATTCCATATTCTATATGAGATCTTGGTTGCATTTTATTTTAAGATGACGTAGTTACACGTTACTACATGAACGTACTATAGTAAGAACAGTAAGTTATGTCAAAACCAACCCCCTGACAGTTTAATGTAATGTTAACCAATAAAGCTAGGTGGTTTCTTAAGTTTGATAATGAATCTGCTGTCATGTTTATGACTTTGTGTTGTCTTAGTAATGTCAAGATGTCATGACAAAGACACTGACAGGTTATGATGTATTGGTTTATGTCAAGGTGTCATAACAAAGACATCTCAAACAATGTCATTTGCATTAAAAATTGTCATAACTAAGCACTTAATGACAGTTTTCATAAACATGCATAAAACTTCCTTCATATTCATAACGTGTCATGTCATGATTATGAATGTGTCATGTTGGTGTCATTATGAAAGTGTTACCAAATGTTCTCTTTTTATAGGCTATATTGCATGTTCAGATATTCATACTGTAGCAATTAAAAATATTCTGGGGGCCATGAAAATTTTTTGTGAAAATGGTAAAAAAAAAATGCTGGTTGGGACTGGCAACTATTTTTTTATGTTGTTACTCTGGTGGGGAAAGAGTTAATGAAAGATAGGCCTACCTGAGAACGGCATGCGTCTCCTGGGCTATGAAAGAGGAACCTCTGAGCTAAAACACGTCCTCTGGGACTGAACAAAGAAACTGCACAATCTCTTTGAAGGGTGCGCGCCATGCAGGAAAGGGCGAACTGTAATAAAAATAAAATACTATACTAAAAAAAAATCATGGTAAACAACATTAGAGTATACTGCTATACACTTTATTTTTGAGGGTGAGTGGGTGCTGCAATTTTGTAACTTCAATGTGTCTGGCCTCCGATGTCAATCGCTTCCAGCTGGTCTAATAATCATAACTTTGCGATTTGTAAATTTTAGCCTGTTAAATTTCAATCAATTTATGATTTCTCTGAGACCCCACATAGCCTAAGTAATGTAAAAATAAAGAATAAATAGAGTGTGTTTCCAGAATGTTATCAAGTTGAAGTTTTGTTTATAATCTGGTCTCATAAGAAGCTATAAAGTCTCAATCTGATGTTTTTGAGCCATTAACGGAAGCATAACTCTAAAGGACTATCCTCAGACTTTATAGACATATGAGCTATATTTCATACTGAAACATGAATAATAAATAATGTATAGTAAATAAAATGTAAATAAACTTCATCAATATTAAATCAGAAGAGATGCAATGAGAGCAAACTCTTACATCACTGGATAGACAATGACAACAATCTTCAGCTTGTTATTTTATGACCCTCCAAAACATGCACAGAAAATTGTGACGGGAGGTTAAACCGACACAAGTGACTCAAACTGATCGTGTTATTTTTAGAGGACACGTTTTTGTCGAGCCGAAATAATAGGATGATATTAATAATAATAATAACAGAAAACAATAAGAGCTAATTTAATATTTGACCTTCCACAAATTGCATAGTGCCTAACCGTGAAACGGAGTGCTGAAAATGGATTTAAGTTGGAAACGGTTAATAACACACACTGCGAGAAGATTAATTACCATCGAAGCTTATTATGTCAAGAACTGCTCAATTTCCTCGGAGCTCGGACACAAAAGAAGCTGTTCTTATTCACCTTGACATATTAAATGTCCGTGTTGAAAAGAGCTCAATCAAATGGACGTGCCCTGCGGGTAAGAGAGCTTTATCTCATGCGGTTTCAGCTTTGTACTGCGCTAACACCAAAGGCAATGTATTATAAAGGCAAATATTACAATAAAAAAAATGATATTATATGAAACGTAATGCATACCACTAATCAGTAAAACAATATTGTGATGTGATATAACATCATACAATATTGTACATTAAATGAGAGAATAGAAGGAGAGCCTGATCAGACATTTGTATTTTTCCTTGATTTATATGAAGATCGTAAGTTCATACACAGACATTCACAGTCAGTCCCATATGTGGTTTTAATACCGATTTAAAAATAGCACCCTATTTCATTAGGCTTCATGTAAATCTGTCCCACTTGAAGTGTGTTCAAACCCTGGAGACCAGGAGAAACAGGATACTGGAGCCGGTCCTTCTCTCCTCTTGGAAGCATGTGTTCTTCCTCTTCTTTATTTTATTTATTTATTTATTTATTTTTATTGTACGCCTGATTTGCTGTCGTAAGCTATGACTCACCATCCAGCATATGAAATTTGAGTCTTTTGCCAGTATATTGTTGTTTGGTTTATAAGATTTAAGGTCAGATTGACAGGCTGCTATCATCCGTATTATTCTAGACCGGTTTGAGGATGTTAGACGGGTCATGTCACCGGATTTTCCTTACCGTTTTGAAAGAGAGAGAGAGAGAGATGTGCTGTGTAGACAAATACTACCATTCAAACCTCATCATGATGACAATACATACTCGGCACAGCAAAAAACACTTTCAATAGACCTTAGTGTGGGTAGCGCCATATTTACTTTTTTGACAAGATTGAAAACGAGGCTGTGAGAGATAGAAGTAGTAGCCTACATTTAATGGATTTTACTGTTGTTGAATAGTTCAATGATTGAAGGATTAGGTCATTGAAACCTGAAAAAAAAAAACCTCCATCTAACAGTTTTACAATTTGTTAGTTGTTGTGAAAATCATGTATTATGTGATCTACTGTAGGACCTTTAAAAAAAGGTACAAAAGCTGTCACTGGGGCTGTACCTTTTTAAAAGGTACACTTTTGTACCTAAAGGGTGCATATTGGTACCTTAATGGTATCTATTAGCACCTGAGATGTACATATTAACACTTAAAATGTACATATTAGCACCTAAAATGTACATAGCACCTAAAATGTAAATATTAGCACCTAACATGTATATATCAACACCTAAAATGTACATATTAGCTCCTAAAATGTACATATTAGCTCCTAAAATGTACATATTATGCATATTAGCACCTAAAATGTACATATTGTACATATTAGCACCCAACATGTACATATTAACACCTAAAATGTACATATTGTACGTATTGGCACCTGAAATGTACATATTAGGACCTAAAATGGACAAATGTTTACCTTTTCAAAAGGTACAGCCCCAGTGACAGCTTTTGTACTTTTTTTTTTTTTCTGAGAGTAGTGCATACCAATGTTTTCATCAGTATTTCAATATGTTGTCTAACCCGAGGTCTATGGGTAAAACTGTCAGGTGAACCTCATGAAAAATATACAAATAATAAATAAACAAAATTCATGTCATGGCCCCTTTAAAAGATTCTGTTCTGTTGAAGTTTGCCATTGTGCTGAAGTGTGGAGGTTATACAAATATTGACTATATTGGACGATATTGTTCTGTTTCTTCTTATCACTTTAAATGCTCGAGCTCGTTACAGGAGGATGGATTCTGATTGGCTGTCAAAATTTGTATCAGTCATTAGCTGGATAAAATCATTATGAAAGTGATTCAACAATATCCTCAATATCTGTGCCTCTACAGGTGTGTTGTGAACTCTGCTATTCTTTAATATTGAGAATGATCTTTAGACCTATATATTTAGAATTACTTTTATAGTTGTCATCCTTAAATGGGCCTTACGTTCAGAAGCCTCAATCACACATGCATGCACACACACACACACACACACACACCTGTTCTCTTAACTGATGTTTTCACCTGATCTGACCCTCTATCATATCGTTCATCTTTGCAGATGTCTCCTTTGTCGCCATCCCTATTTATCTGGGATACGGCCTGGGCGTCTTTAACACAATGACTGTGTTACGCTGCCTCTGGGACTGAAAGGGTCATGTGTCACCTCGAACAAATCCATTGTTCACACATAAACACACACTCACACTCACTGAAGGTGTCCTTAGCCCCACACTGCCAGTTGGTAATTATCAGTGCTCATCTGGTCCTGCTGGCCGGACAGCCGGTCAGAGAGTGAGACAGACAGAGATAGACAGACAAAGAAAACGAGAGTGAGACAAAGAGAGAGAGAGAGAGAGAGTAATGTAATGTTGACTGAGCAAACACAAGCACACTTCAAGTCAAGACATTGTTCACATTTTGCAACCCATTTTACTTTTGTAATGTAAAATTGAAGGTGGGATGTTGGTTTTATTTATCAGGAATTGATTGGATTCAGAAAAGTGGCCAGTATAGAGCCTGACCTGAATGCAAGTTTGTATTTAACATTATCTGTACGGCCTATGTGAGACATCATCTGAAAAGGAAACTTGTTTTTATCTTATGAGTAAATTATCAATGTTTTTTTTTTATTATTATATTATGAAAAACAGATTTATATTCTGAAAAAGAGGACATTTTCAATTTAGATTTCATATCGATATACATAAATATATTCATCCAAAAATAAAAAGAAGATATTTCGGAAAATGTCTAATGTGATTTCTTTTGCCAAGTAAATGGTAAACAAATAGTGTAGTTACCAACTAAATAAAGAATTGCTTTTTTTTGCTAACATGATTTCGCCAAGTACCACATGTTCCTGGATCAGCATCTTTGTTGATCCTGGATCAACTTTCCAATCAACCAATCAGATTTGAGGGACAAGTTTACAGTTTATGTCAACTTTAGGCTTAGAACCACTTAAACATCAGTGTTATTCACCTACCTCTGATTTTAGGGAAAAGTTATGGGTACACTGTAACGGATTTCTGTAATTTGAACAGTATTTTACTGTAAAATGTACAGTATAATACTGTTAAATGTGCCATAATATTGTAAATAAACATGGATTATGGGAAAATATGTGTTTACTACCATAATTGTAAATTGTAAAAAAAAATCGAATTATGAAATTATGTAATAATAGGAAATCAATTCTAATACTGTAAATAAAAATACAGTAGTTGTACTCATGCATACAATATACAGTATTATTTCTGTAAATTCAAATAAGGTACATAAGGTACAGTACTCATACTGTAAATACTAATACAGTATACAATTGTATCACTGTAAATGAAATTACCGAAGTGATACTGTAAACACTTTTACAGTAACTTACTGGCATCCAGCTGCTAGTTACTGTAAAATTTACAGCAACCTGTTTACAGTGTTGGGTTTAGGGGTAGGGATTGGGTAAGGACTACATTTTGGGACAGGAATGTTGATCCAGGATTAACAAAATATGTCAAAATTACTTGGCAAAATCACGTTGAGCGAATTCTGTGACCATACACATAATGGCATGACGGTATAGGTTAGGATTAGTTCAATACAGAATTGAGTGGAACACGGGTTCATGCCTCGACTCATTTCAATTGAGAATACCATCTCACTGTTTATTAATATCCCACAGCTTTTAAAAACTCTCAGTGTACAATACAGTCTCCATGCTCACATCCAAACTCCACACTAATATTTTAATGATTCATAAAGGATGAATCACTGGCCATCTGAGATTTCAGTATGGAGATAAAGGTTAGGATCATGATTTTTCAGTTATTGCATGTAAGCACTGTTTGTTTGGTTTTACTTTTGGTATCTGAAAAAGCAGCTGGACCCAGAAATATGGATCCTTATGACCCTTATTCATCGTCTGGTGTCGTTTAAAGCCCTTTGAAGCTGCACTGAAACTCTCATTTGGACCTTGAACCGTTTGGTTCCCATTGAAGTCCATTATATGGAGAAAATCCTGGAATGTTTTCATCAAAAGCCTTAATTTCTTTTCGACTGAAGAAAGAAAGACATGGACATCTTGGATGACATGGGGGTGAGTAAATTATCAGCAAAAGTTTTTTTTTTTTTAAAGTGAACGACTCCTTTGAGTGCAAATGATCATGACTTTTCTGTGATACCAGCCCTTTGTGTTCCTCATAAAGGGAAAAGCTGTCATTTTCCAACTGATCCGCTGGGACCATCTCAACCGTTAAAAGAGAAAAACTAAACTGAACCTCTGAACCTGACACACCTCTTCCACAAGCACTTATGATGAATTGGTTGCGCTGTTTCTGATTTGTGAGTCACTTTGGATAAAAGCATTTGCCAAACGACTTAAAGTAAAATCATGTAATTTATGTGATGCAAATTTTCTTCGGTGCATTTTGTTGGTGATTCCTGCCACTTTGTTGCATCGCATTTTTCTTTAAGTTTTCAAAACTTTTTGGGTATTATCTCAGAGACTGACGAAAATTCATGCCATGCTTTATGTCAACATTTTTGACACAAATTAGCACAAATTGGCATTGGCTCGTAGTTTTTAGTGTGTCACCACACTAGCCTGTTACTCCATAGGAAGAAAAAACAAACATATTTTGATTAATTTCCTGCATTTGATTTTATGCCATAAACCCAGTGAACTAAAGCATTCAAGATAAAACACTGTCATGGTTTATTAAATCAAACACACTAAGTCCAAAGACCCTCCATTTCAGCTCTTAATGACTGAGATGCTTTTGCCTTTTCCTTTGTAATTATCAAATGAAAGTTGTTCCTGTTCTTTCAAGGAGTTTCCAAGCAACAATATAATGCATTTAGTCTCTCGTGTTAGGAAGGAGCAGCTAGTGAAAATGACAAGAAAATAACACAGCTAAATGTGTCTAACATGCATGCTTGTTTTGAGGTGCACTACACATGCATGTGCGTGTTGCATGTGTACGAATGTGAAGCTTTATATGGGTTCAAATTAATGAATTAATGTAGAAATTATGGAATAAAGTCTTCAATCCTGCTCCTGGAGCACCTCTGTTTTGCAGAGTTTAGTACCAACCCTAATCAAACACACCTGAACCAGCTCATCAAGCTCATCACAGACGCTTTGGTGCATATAGAGGGAGAATAATGTCCTAGTCACAAATAGGGGGAACTACAGTATATAGGCCAATGAATTGATTGTCATGACAACGGCAAAGTTTATGACGCAGAGCGATGATATTAAAGTCATTTATTGGTTATATGCTCAATAATGCAACCCTTAAACTCTGCTTATGATGCATGCATTTGGGTTTATGAACTGAGATCAATATAAAGTGATGTCAGCCATCATCAGGTGTAACTTTCCATTTATCATATCTTCAGGCTCCATTAGAACGATCTGTTTTGCGGTTTCAGAGCCATTATCAGGGCGACAGGCGTCATCACATCTGTTTGGCAGGTTGTTTTTTGCATGACTGTCCCCAATTGTTCTCAATTCTCTTTTAATTTGGGAACGAACAGAAACCAGCTTTTTTTTCCTTGATGTATGTTTTTATCGCTGCGTACGCCCTGCGGGGACAGTATAAAACAAACGGGCAACATTCATTGAAATCAATTCAGCTCGTCCATTTCAGTGAAACAATGAATCTATTGCTCACTTCAGCGTTTTTGTTTTGGGATGGGGTGAGAGGATGACAAAAGCATTGAAAAGACAGGAACAATAGCTCTAAACAGGGAGGGATGAAGTATTATGTTAACATATGTGAATTTTCCTGTGAAAAGAGACAATAACTGACTGACAGAGTCGCACAACTGGCTATTTTGTATATTAGTGCTATTTTGGAGTTTACAGGAACTCACAGATTTCCTACTAGTGCCACTCCCTCTGTTTGATTACTGGTAGAATATAAAATGGGTAAAATATTAAAGGTCAATTACACAACTATCACCAAACACAATGAACACTGGAGTAGCCAACCGAAAGCCTGATGAGAGAAACTGTAACATATAACATATTACATTTCAACATTTATTTTATCCTTTTCCCCAATATTGATGAACATTTACGTCATTGATGAGACAACGCTTCCGTCATTGATGGAAATTTTTGGCTTTCCGTGGTTTTCGCTGTTATACGGTAGGGGGCGTTATTATATGGAAGCTTGTTTCCGCCACTGAATAAATAAATAAATAATTGCGACTTTTTATCTCACAATTGCGAGATTTGAAATCAGAATTGTGAGAAATAAAGTCGTAATTGCAAGATATAAAGTCGCAATTCTGAGAAATAATGCTGCAGTTGTGAGAAATGAAGTCGCAATTGCGAGAGACATAGTCGCAATTCTGAGAAATAGTCGCAATTGCGAGATATAACGTCGCAATTGTGAGAAATAAAGTCGCAATTGCGAGATATAGTCGCAATTCTGAGAAATAATGTCGCAATTGCGAGATATAAAGTCGCAATTGTGAGAAATAAAGTCGCAATTGTGAGAAATAAAGTCGCAATTGCGAGATATAACGTCGCAATTGTGAGAAATAATGACGCAATTCTGAGAAATGAAGTCGCAATTGTGAGATATATTCGCAATTCTGAGAAATAGTCGCAATTGCGAGATATAACGTCGCAATTGTGAGAAATAATGCTGCAGTTGTGAGAAATGAAGTCGCAATTGCGAGAGATATAGTCGCAATTCTGAGAAATAGTCGCAATTGCGAGATATAACGTCGCAATTGTGAGAAATAAAGTCGCAATTCTGAGAAATAAAGTCGCAATTCTGAGAAATAATGTCGCAATTCTGAGAAATGAAGTCGCAATTGCGAGATATATTTGCAATTCTGAGAAATAATGTCGCAATTGCGAGATATAAAGTCGCAATTGTGAGAAATAAAGTCGCAATTGTGAGAAATAAAGTCGCAATTGTGAGATATAACGTCGCAATTGTGAGAAATAAATTCGCAATTCTGTGAAATAATGTCGCAATTCTGAGAAATGAAGTCGCAATTGCGAGATATAGTCACAATTCTGAGAAATAATGTCGACATTCTGAGAAATAGTCGAAATTGCGAGATATAAAGTTGCAATTGTGAGAAATAAAGTCGCAATTGCAAGATATAAAATCACAATTGTGAGAAATAAAGTCGCAATTCTGAGAAAAAAAGACAGAATTGAGAACAACTTGGACTTTATGTCATGCATTTCTGACTTTATATCGCTGTGTACATATATATATATATACAGTATATATATATATATATATATATTAATG